CCTAGCGTTTTCCGACGCAGCTCGAGTTCCCGAAGGGGAACTGTCATTTCAGAGCTCCAGACCTTTGAAGAGATACTGCATTTGGTCATTTTAGTTGATAAACTGTATCATTGCAGTACATATTTCAGCAAATACTGTGGTTGGAAGACAATACCAAGATACCATTTTTCTCTTTTTATGAAAATACTACCTAATATCTTTCATTGTTCTGTCATATAATATGTGAGGGGGAACAGACGGACCTGCCCTGATCATGTTTTATCGTCTACATTATTTTCAGATTCAGTATTCAGTTTCTTGCTGCATTCTGATGGATCTGACCCTCGTCTAGGCTGCTCAAAGCCTCTGCAAAGCCAGAGATGTGTTTTGTGTTGCCAACATTCACACGGAGGAGCCCAGCTCTCTCATCTGAAGAAGACAATCTCTTACCTTTCGAAGCCCAGCTGCCGTATTGATCTCTCCCATGATGAACCTGAAAAACAACACAAGAAGGTGTTCAAAACAGCACAGAGATGATCCAGTCTATAATCTGATGTGAGGCTAAAGCTCAAGGCTGCGAATCAAAAGTCTGCTGGTTTGAACCATGAATGTAGTGAACTAAGAACATTGGCTGTTGATTGGACCGTGAAAAGCTTTGGATTAGCAGGTTGATGGAAGACTGACGTCATTTCAGAATCATTTATATTTTATCTTATATGTTGATTTTGAAACACTATGAAGACATTTTTTTTCTCATTAGATTAGCATGCACTAATAAATTATTCAGCCCTATCTCATTATTTTTCTTAGGAATTCAAACTGTCTGGGTATTTGCTAAAACATACAATATGAACATATCTGCAAAAACTAAAATGTTAAATTATTTATGTACGCACAACTTTAGAAATGTAAAAAAGTTTTTTTTAAATGAAAATATCACTTTTATTCATCAAGGATACATTAAATTGGTCAAAAGTGACAGTAAATATTTATAATGTTACAAAAGATTTTCAAATAAATGCAGTTCTTTTGAACTTTCTGTTCATCTGTGAATCCTGAAAAATAAAATGCATCACAGTTTCCACAAAAATATTGTGCAGCACGACTGTGTTCAACATTGATAATAATCAGAAATGTTTCTGGAGCAGCAGATCAGCATATTATACTGATTTCTGAAGATCATGTGACACTGAAGACTGGAGGAATGATGCTGAAAATACAGCTGCGCATCACAGAAATACATTACAGTTTAACACATATTCACATAGAAATACTTATTTTAAATTGAAAAAAAAAAGAAAAAAAAGAATGGTTCTTACTGTATTTTTGATCAAATAAATGCAGCTTTGGTGAGCAGAAGTGACTTCTTTCAAAAACATAAATAAATCTCACCAACTCCAAACTTCTGAACACTAATATAGCTGTAGATACAAGATGTAACAAGTATGTATGTGCTAAAAAATTTAATTCATTAAACCATGCTTCAAGTGTAGTGTACTGTAATACACCGTAAGTCACTTCAGATAAAAGCAAATGACTTCTTATTAACAAAACACATTTGAAACGGCATTATTTTGATATTATTCAGTCTTTCATTCGACCCAGAGCTGAGCAGATATCATCAAATGTTGTACAGATATCACCAGATCCTGCGCGTTACACACTTACCAAGAAACATTTGGCAACATTTATTGTGTTCAAGGTTTTTGTCGGGCAGAAAACGCAAACAAAACACCATGTGATTGATAGTATACTGAATCTGGATCTGTTTACAGGGACACTTCCAGGTATTCAGAGTCTCTGCCGAGAGAAATACACGCCTTCCAGTTCATCTGCAAGACTGAAGCAACTGTCCAAGATTTGACAAAGTATTACTGATGGAATTAGGCTGCGGACTGCTTGGCAGCTGAATCACATTGGCAAACTGGAAGATGAGCAAACCAGAAACACTATAAGAACAAAAAAATGATTCAAACCACTCGTATATCTCTGTTACGCTACGACATCACGTGACATCATTCAAAATATGTTCAATTTCATATTAAAGGAATAGTTCAACCAAATACAAAAATGTGCTGAAAATGTGCTCACCCTCATGCTATCCGAGATGTAGATGAGTTTGTTTCTTCATCAGGTTTGGAGAAATGTAGCATTGTATCACTTGCTCACCATTGGAGTGAATGGGTGCCGTCAGAACGAGAGTCCAAACAGCTGATAAAAACATCACAGTAATCCACAGCACTCCAGTCCATCAGTTAACATCTGAAGAAGACAAAAGCTGAAACACATCCATTAAGAAATACGAGTCCATAATCCATAATAACTCTTCCTCCAGTGATAAAGTGCATCTGCTGTTGTCTCTCGCATCAGAATCCAGCCTCATATTAGTTCAGAGCTGTTTAAACGCTGCTTGATCTGTGCTTTTTCACCACTTTTTGTTTCTTACAAACATGCAGCTTTTGTAAAGTGCAGATGTTCACTGATGGACTGGAGTGCTGTGGATTACTTGTGGATTATTGTGATGTTTTTATCAGCTGTTTGGACTCTCATTCTGACGGCACCCATTCACTGCAGTGCATCCAAGAAATTTTAGAATTGTTCTTAAGACTTTATTCTACAAGGATGCATTATACTGATTAAAACCGACACATTTCAAGTTTTTTTAAAAAACATTTTTATTAAATGCTGTCCTTATGTTCTTTCTATTCATCAAAGAATAATATCTAAGTGCAAAGCTTTACTTAGATAAAGCTTTAAAAAAAAAATCACGCATAAGGACATGCATTTACTTAAAAGAAAAAAAAAATTGATATGAAAAATAAATGTCAGATTTTATACTGAAATGCATATTAAGCATGTAAAAAAAACACTAATTAAATTCACAATGCTGACAAAAAAAAAGAAAAAAACTATGAACGAGAGAGCTTAGAGAGTTACACTTGGCGTTTATATGACATACACCCTTAAATCACTGAATACCTGAATCTAAATCAACCGTATAAGAAAGCATAGGTAGATAATAACTGTATTTAAACAGGCCATTGCTTTCTTTTATCTGGTGAGTATCCAAATACTTTTGTTAAGCCTAATTACTAACAGACACCAGATGTTTGGGGTTTTTTCTTTTCTTATAGAGACGTTCACGAATATGTCTAGAGTTTAAGATCAAAGCTCAGAAAGTTTCCTTGTTGACAGATAATGCTGTATTCAGAAAAGATCTATGAAGTCAGACAGAGTTGTGATATCGAGAGTGATCAGAGAATGCCGAATCATCACAGCTCATAAAACATTCAAACATTTCACATCTCCAGTCTTGCGGTAGTTCTGCTTTCTCCTGCCGTCTCAGGCGGATCTCAAGGCCTTCGTGATGACGCTCAGGAAACCGTTCAGGATGAGGTCTGCTAAACTAAGTCTGCTCGATTGAAAGTCTGATGATTTCATAATATTTCTCTGTGGGAAGACTGAAAACAGACGGAGATCCCGCCGAACTCCTCGTGCTCGTTTCAGACCGTCTGTGAAAGTTATCAAGCCAGCGGGGAAATAAAGCGGCTTGTCTTCTGTCTGGAGTCCACGTGAAGGTGTGGAGCTTCTCTGCTTACGTGGATTTGGAGAGATTCGATTTAGATGTTTTCAGATGTGGTTGTCACCCGAGGAGAAGTCCAACTCAAAACAAGCCTTCACAGAAATCCAGTGCTTTCTTATTGTTGAAACTCAGCTATCCATGTGGTTGTTCACAAAACAGTTTGGAAACCATTTATTTTTATTATTTTATTTTATTATTTTATTTTAATTTGATTAGTTTTTAATTTTATTATTATTTTATTATTTTATTTTATTATTTTTTAAATTTTATTATTATTTTATTTTTATTATTTTAGTAATTTTATTATTTTTTTTATTTTATTATTTTATTTTATTATTTATTTTATTAATTAATTAATTATTTTATTTTTATTTCATTATTATTTAATTATTATTATTTAATTATTATAATTTATTTATTATTGTATAATTTTATTTTATTTTAATTATATTATTTTTTAATTGTATTATTAATATTTTTTTATTATTTTATTTTATTATTTTATTTTGTTTTTATTTTGGTGAAAAACCTATTTCCACCACAGAATACAAAATAAAACAAGTAATAGTGCGATAAAGCTTAAAATAAGAACACGTGTGTGAAACATTATCTCACACTGTGAGATATAAAGTCATAGTGTTGGCATATTACAAAGTAACAATTATGAGAAACATCTAAGCAATAATGAAAAGCTGCCATCAAAAGAAATAAAATCATTTATTATTAAATAAGGCAGAAACAAGCTTTCATATGAAGGAGTACAACACTAACTCTCAAAAAAACACAACATTAATTTATACACTGTAAAAAAAAAACGATCTTTCAAAGTTAAAGCAAAGATTATTGGATTAGGTTTTACAAGAAATTACTATTTCATTTTTTTCTAATTCAAAAGTTCATGTTAAATTCAATGTGTTACCTGCCAATTCTTTGTAA